AAAAATACAAAAATTAGCTGGGCGTGGTGGCACGCACCTGTTGTCCCAGCTACTCGGGAGGCTGAGGCAGGAGAATCACTTGAACTCAGGAGGGGGAGATTGCAGTGAGCCGAGATCGTGCCACTGTACTCCAGCCTGGCAACAGAGCGAGACTCCATCTCAAAAAAAAAAAAATTGGGGATGCTTACAGTGAATGTGATTTAAAAGGGTTTTGTCACTGTTTAATGGGCAGTGTTTATTTCTTAAAGTACATAAAATGATGTACCTTTAAAAATTGATGGCATCTGAGGTTCAGTGAAAAGTCTTTAAAATGAAAGTGGAATAGTCAGAATGGAAGAAAACTCAAAATGACTCCCACCCCTCTTGGCAGACACTAATCCCCCAGGAAAAATATCTTTGAATTGCTGTAAAAAGTCATATATTTGCATAATTGCCATTTTGTGGTCTCTTTGTGGCCCCTGTGTCTTTTTTATACAGTGTGGGAGGCAGACGAAGAGAACACTCATGGTTCAGGTATTTTCCTTAAAGCACGGGCTTGGAAGTCCGTGAGGAGTGTTTGAATTTAAACCAAAAATTATTCTGAAAGTGGGGGAGAAAATGAATTTACACAGCAACAACCAAAAATCCACTCACTTCATTGTCTTAATAGACTTGAAAAGGACTTCATGTTGCATCTCTATTGATTTAACCTCGCTGTAAGTGAAAGAGATGTTCTGAGAAGATATGCATCCCTAGCTTATGTTTGTTGGGACTGCCATTTTAGAGGCCCCCTTAACATTTTAGCCCTCTTTCCCTCTCTCCCTTTTCTTTTTCCTCCACACAGATCGGGATCTATAAAGAAATTTGGTAGAAAAACTGCTATTTAATTCTTGATGAATCATAAATACTTTTTCTCAATTTATCTGCTATTTTATGTCATTACATGTGACTGCTAGTATTTTAGGACAATTTCGTTTGACTTCCGTTCAAATAAGTATTGTCCTTTTAACTATGACTTCAGTAAAAGTGTCAGTGAGCTGCTAGGAAAGGATTCTGATTACTTAGCTGTCTGGGCTGGTATACACAGAACAGTGAGTCTATATTGTTGGGAAATGAAGTTGGAATAAAATAAAGTTGAAGATGAGAGACTGGAATTTGCCTCACTGAAACTAGAAAAGAGTTTGCAGCTTTACTGAATATGCAGGGAGAGAAGAGGAAGCCAGAACTGGCCTGGGGTGGACAGCTAATGGCCAAAGAATGTTCTCCTGAAGACCGTGTGCGCTTAGGTCTATGGTACCACTCAGAGCCACCCCTCAGAGCCACTCTTCAGAGCAGAGACACAGGTAGCCTTCCTCCTAGGAGGACTCCCAGCTTTCACTTGCGAACCCAGAATCACTTCGGTGCCCTTGCCAGGCACCAGCACAGTGGCAGGTAACTCCAAAGAGGCGGGGGCATTCTGAATGACCAATTTGCCCCTCTCTCATCCATTTTCAGGAGTTAATCTCTGCCGTAGCTCATTGTTTTCAGAGTTGGAACTTGTCCATTTCTCTAAAAGTACTAAAAGATGACCATTTTAAGGTAGAGCAGATTGGAAAGCTATTTCAGAGTATTTGGACAACTATTTTCCCCAAGATACCTGGGAACGTGAAGTTGGAAGCCATTCTGAATGGGGCTCTCGGATATTTCTGAGACATCATCAGGACAAAGGAATATCCGGTAGAGAAAGAATTCTATTTTTTTCTTCCAGTGTTGTGGGACTGTCAGCTTCTATGTCCTCTTTGGTGTCCTAAGCATAGCCCATGCCCTATCACAGCTTTGCCAGATTACTAGAGGTCCAGCTTTCAGGAGCTCACTGTGGATTTGCTAAATTTTAGTTTGCTTTTAAAAGAACAGAAGCACGTTGTTTTTTAAAGGGTCATCTGTGGCCTCTGCCCCTTCCTGTCTACTTCTCCCTTTCCTGCCTCCTAATCTCTCTGTGCACTGAGCCCAGGGTGAGGGATGTAATGGAATATCACTTCCCAGCTGGCTTGAGGTGAACACATTGCTCAGACCAAATTTGGCATCAAGCTGTTCTCAACCCACTTTTTTAAAGAAGGCTGGACCAAAGCCATAGGGCCTCACTGCCACCAACCTGTGTTAGTCTGTCACTGTCAGGAGCAGGCTACCCCCACTTGCTGTTCTGTTTTCCTCTTAAATCAAATTGGAAAAGCACAGCTGGATTCTCCTGGCTTTTCCTTTACTCTTCTCCTCCCCTTTTTCACTTTGCAAATGGACCTTAGAATATGATTTCTTAGGTTTTCTGACAATAAAGTGGTCTATAATAACAAAAATATTAAATATCTGAATGAGGCCGGGCGCGGTGGCTCACGCCTGTAATCCCAGCACTTTGGAAGGCCGAGGCGGGCGGATCATGAGGTCAAGAGATCGAGACCATCCTGGCCAACGTGGTGAAACCGCGTCTCTACTAAATATACAAAACTTAGCCAGGTGTGGTGGTGCGCGCCTGTAGTTCCAGCTACTCGGGAGGCTGAGGCAGGAGAATTGCTTGAACCCAGGAGGCAGAGGATGCAATGAGTCGAGATTATACCACTGCACTCCAG